TCTGATTTGGTGTGTTTCTCTAGCAAATCTTATAAACGCACAGTAATGTCCTACCAACAAACAATCATTTCCACAAGAATTTGCAGTCAATTAACAAATAAGAGAAACCTCATTAAACATTTTGCAAAAATCTGTCACAGTCTATATAGTGGATTAATTTGTACATAACTCTACATGGTCTTTTTTTTACCCAAACTGAAGTGTAAGTAATTCACTCTGGTGTTATCGAAGAGATATCTACCCAATGGATTTGTGTAACAGCACAAAATATACCAAAAGTGATACTGCTAAATTCTATGGAAGGTCTACAAAATATAATACCATTAACTTATTTTTTTAGTGTGACTAAAACATTGATTTTAAATTTTTCATTTATAGCAATAATGGTTTTCCATCAACTTAATTTGTGAAGTAAATATGACCTATTTGGTTTGGCTCTGTTTTTTGCAGAGCTAATTATAGCTGGGTTGGCATTGTTCATATAGTCTAATTTAGTCAAACAGTGTAATAATGACATAATAATGATGCGCATAGTGCCATGGCAACCACTGCGATTTTGTTTACTGTAGTGTGTGTACCATTTAACTAATTATTTCTTATCTGTTGCTCTGGGATATTGCACTTTCACATTGCCATTGCTCGTTAAATAAAAACGACAGGATTTACTACTATAAACATGTCTAACTATTTACTATAAGAGAGCTCAACTGGCTTATATTATATATTAAAGCCATAGGGGTTGATTTACTAAAGGCAAATAGGCTGTTCACTTTGAAAAGGAATTTCCACTTTGTAAGGGAATATTCCCTTAGCTTAGTGAATGAGGTAAAGCTCTGCTGACTTCCACTATACAGTTATGTAGCAAGCAAATATACAGTTTTTTTAATTATTACTTTTCTTGGATGTGATTGGGTATTGTTTGCAAAGTACATTTTCACCACATTTACTAAGCTAAGGGAAAATTATCTTGCAAAGAGTAAATTCCCTTGCAAAGTGAACAGTCTATTTGCTTTTAGTAAATCAACCCCATAGGATCCATGTACACAGGTAAGATTATGTCTCTCTTTCCTCCCTTTGGTTAAAGCTGATCTGTAGACAATTAAATAAAGTTGTATTTCTGACCACTAATTAGGTTGTGAATTGTATTTATTATCTGTAAATTGTCAAAGCTTTGCCTATGAAATTACTTTGTTTGCCTAATGCGACCAGTTGCAGGGCTACAGGCAAATGTCTATGGCCACTGAATGGAGAAACCATTGTAAGATAGAACACTACCGCTACGGACAAGACCCCATTTCTCCTTTACAGCAACATTACATTTCAGACAATGCAGTGGCCATTGCCAAATGGGTAGAATCTTACTGAATTCCTTACACAGACCAATGCCTGTTCCTATGTACTTCAAGCACAGTGACAGGAGAAAATTTAATAACTGGTTAATGCCAGTAAAATGTAAAGAATGTCATAATAATAATATAATTTTCAGAATTTTTTTTAAATAGCTACATTAAATAGCATTTTTTAAGTCCTACAGCTCAGCTTTAATTGAATTATACATAAGACCAATTCAGCTTTGCTTTTTATTTAACAGAGTTGTGGCCAAAACTTAGATCCTCAAAGAGTGCCCAAGTTCACTAAAAGGTATACACTGTTCTAGAGGACTAGAGGCTGAAATACATCAGTTACAAACCTATACATTTGCCCAGATACCACACTATTTAATGAATATAGCACTGACACTATTTCTGTAGAGCAAAATATTAGCTTATAACGTTTGGAATAAAATTGTATTTATAGCCACAGTCCTCTCAGTCACTTTCAGTACATGACCAGCAAAATCAATAGTACTGTTTGTTTGGTTTCCTCAAGAAGTGCTTATAAGCAAGTTATTAAACAGGAATTTATTGTTATTTTCTTTTTCCTGCTATACATTTTGGAAAAATATATGTCTGAAACTAGTGTCATGACATGTACCGGTTATTTCAGCAGAGGTTATATGATTAAAAAAGAACTTCAGGTGAAACTGTTATCATTGCATTGGGGCTAACCCCACATGCAAGGGATAACTGCTCATTTTGTCTAGGTGCTAAAAATAAAAAAGTTATACTCACCCAAAGTGCTGAGCTGGCTCCCTGCTTCTCCAGTCACTAAAGCCTGTATACCCATACATTGCAGCATTGGAATGTTCCACAGTGTATAGAACATGATGATTTATGGTACCTTAGACCACTGCAGAGCTGGCGGAGAGAGGCTGGAAGGACCGGTCTAAGAACAAGCTGTCTCAGCAGTTCGGGCGAGTATAACATTTTAGCACCTAAACAAAAATGAGCAATTAGCCCATGCAGTGGGGCTACCCAAAAAAAATTTTGCCCAGAGTTGTTCTGTAAGTTTGGACCTAATTTTTTTTAACATGCAATTCTGAAACAAGGGAAAAAAACAGCAAGGGCAGCTTTCAAGAGCATAGTCAGAACGAGACAGGAGGAGTACTTTGGAACCAGCGGTCACAGAAAATGTTTGATGGATAAAATGAAATCCATCAAATGTGTGTTCTTAAAGCTATGTTGCCAGTCTAAATGGGATTAACAAAAGACCTTTAACTCTTTTACACTCTTTTCCTGGAGAAAATATTGCTTCAGGTTACCTCCAGTGTTAGCCTAATGTCTGAGGGTCCAAGCCTAAATGACCTGTGCTAAAGGGGAGCATTAACAAATCTGATTTTCAAGTTATCAGACATATGTCCAGCACAAAAAAAAAACTGTACTGAGGAATTATGGAGGCTGCTGTCTTCTGCTTCTTTTGCCTAGATGTCCTGCATAAGAAATTATTTCAGCACTTTCAAAATCCCCAAACCAGAACAAGTAGGCAGATCAGGAGTTCTGGGTTTGCTGTCACTTTCTGATCCACAAACCCATTCCAGGTCAGTGAGTTAGAAAGTGCTAAAGCAATTGGATCAGCTTGAGAAATACAAATCTATCTTATTTATTAGAAGCCAAAATTACCAACCTTCATATTTTTGTACCCTCCTCCACCCCTCAAAGGCAGCTACCTTTTCTTTTTGTAATCTAGGTCTACAGAGGTGTACCCGGCAAATATTTTGGGGGTTCTTAAAGAGACCAGGCACCCAGGGTGCAAATAGCTGTCTGGCGTGATCAGTCTACTCAACAGGAAATGTCACCTCATGCACAGATAGGAGGCAGCATTTCCTGATAAATTAGAGATAAAGGAGACAGGGGCATCTTAAAGAGATTTTTAAAAATAACATAATAATAGCATAGTTGTATATTAATGTCTTTAGGTGTTTTTAAGTGCAACAATACGAATACACCTGTGATTGTTGGCTAAGTTTTGCAACCCCTAGATGCATTTTAATACATGAGCCCTTTGAACACCTTTGGCTGTTATAAGGTCAAAAAATATCATAGATCTTAGAGATATGTTGCCAGGCTATGAGGTACATACCTAACACATTTTTAACATAGCATATACCTCTCAATAATGTATATCAGATTGAACCTTTGGGTGTATTTATTCATGTAGTGTAAAAGTGTTGTGCAGCAACCAGTCAGACATTACCTTCCTGCAGATATTTAAAAATTGGTTCCTGACTGGTTGATGCTGGTAGCTGAACACATATGCTCATTGCACTATAGTGCTAATGCTGGAATTCCATTAGTATTATTTCAATATATGTTAGAGTGACAAAATAAGAAAAAGAAACAAATTTATGTGACACTATATTGATTAATTGAAATAAAAGAGTATTTGTATTATCACATTTAAACATTTATGCAGATCGGATTCACTGAGAGAGAAATAAAGTCACAATATACCAGCAATATGAATTTATCATTTCATGTAACACAAACTGTTGGGCATTTTAGTGTTTCTTTACTATATATGTTATGTAATCTTCTATAAAAAAAATTACACTCACACTAGTATTTTTTCTCTTTCTGTGATGCATTTACAGCTTTGTTCACTTTAACTGAATGAAAATAGGTCAATAGAATTAAAAGGGGATTGGAGAGGAATGTACATTTTGCAATGGGAACTTTACCTTAGATTGGTGAATGTGGTGAAAATTACCAAATATACCTAATACTTGCAAGGAAAACAAAACAGTATTTTTGCTTGCACATGACTGCAAGGGAAAATGCCATTGCAAAGTGAAATTTCACTTATAAAGTGAAGAGCCTCTAAAACAATTAACCCCAAAATGTCAATGTCCCTTCTATGGAGTCTACCATACCACATGTGTGGATTCACATGGGTTTCTACCAAGAAACAGCAGAGTAGGACAAGGTGCTCCGTGTTTCCTATCTCTTTTACTCTGACATTTTTCAGGCTTTGGTGTCATGAAAGAGGCAATTGCAGCCACTAAAATCACTGAAGCCCTATAAATAAGTCTTGTAGTTAGAGAAGCCACCCGGAAGTCTTCTCATTAATTACATGTGTGTAGAACCAATATTTTGATAGCAGGGCACTATGATGTTGTCATTGTCACCCTGCAATGGCATTATCTCTGAATTTCAGTTTGCCCTTCTAGAGGTATGTTAATATATAGTCTAAGTTGAAGGGTTGTAGAAGAAACTGGCACAGACAGAAACCCTTCTTGTTAAAATAATGAATAAAAATAAGTGACAGTGAGGTTTGTTATCAGCTGGGCTAGTGAAGTTTAAAACTGTTTTAAATGTAAAATTTAAATACATAAATGATATTAAAAATTAAAATGTAAAAGAAGTACCTACAAAATATTTCACTGCACAAGTTCATAGGTTAATGATTTTTGTTATTACTTGTAATGGTATGAAACAATTACCTTGCAACATCCTTAAATTAGAATACAAATGAAAATGAAAATACAAATTTTACTGAAAAGTTATCATTATGTGCGTTATACCTGAAATTAGTCCCTGAAAAATGAATTGAAAAGAGAAATGTCAAAAATCTACACAACGTTAAGTCAGTAGTGCATATCACTAGTATGTTTTTAAAAACTCAGTAAAACAAAATAATGAATGGCATAATTTATGATTTCGAACTCATGATTTATAATAAATGAAGTGCTTGGGTGTACTGCAACATGTACGGGAAATGTGTTATGATTTTCCTTTTTTTGTTTGTTTCTTATAAAATATTCCACCCAAGGCACAAACAAACAAGGGACAAGACTTAGATGTTTCTAAAAATTTCAGACATACTTTTGACTAATGAAACAGAAACATATTCTGATAATTACCCAAAATCCTTATTTCTATTCCTGGAAAACATATTTTGTATTTTTGTTTTTTTAGTCATCATTTTATGAAAACTATACAAAGTTATATAATTGTACAATTTGTGTGTAGAGCGAATTAGTAAACAGTTAAGTGCAATTCAATAAAAAAAATTAAACTTTCTGGGATCTGCAGAATTATTTCAAAATATGTAAATATCTCCAACCTAAAAGGAATAATTATTCCCACTGAAAAAAAAAGAAATAATGAAAACTTCAAGCTGCAAATCCTACGCTTCCTCAACCCAGAGGATTGTGTTGCCTTTTTCGACTTCGGTGATTTCACAGTTTAATTTGTTGAGTCTTCCATCTAAAATAAACAGAGAATTCTTAGAGGGTGTCATTAAGTATTGTCCAAAGAGGCCACTCTCTATGATAATTCGATTTTTGGGGCTCCATGGCCATTCTTCTAGCTTGACTGGTTCTTTAAGGCTCTTTATCATTTTTACCTTTCCAGATGCGAGTTCTACAAAAAGTACATCAGTTTGTGTGCTTGAACTTGCATAGACATTGTATTGATGAGCTTCTATGAATGATGATTGAAAGGCCACATCAGATATATGCAGATTAGTATGAATGTCAAATAAATCCCTAATTTCTCCTTGGACTGTTATCAATTGTACTCTCATAACTCCTTTAATATCATCAATGCTGACAAGATAGTGTCCATCTGGGGAGACATATGGGAGGCCAGTTACATCCTTGTTATAGCCAATGACAACATCAGTTACGCTGTCCACTATTACTTGTGGAAGGATAGCTCCTGTTGTATCAGGTTTGCATTGAATAAAATAATATCCCCCAAGGTGGGTGTAAGCCAAAGACTGAGGGATGCAATTGTAATCTTTTAAACTGACTGTCTTAATGTAGGACATGGTTTCCAAATCAATTTTCAGGAGAGCTGCTTCTTCTTTATGAAGGATGAATCCAAACCTGAAAGAGACGAAAGAGTTGTTTGGAAAGCAATCTAATTTCAAACATTCTCTGTGTCTTGCATTATGACAAATTAGCAAAATTATGTGAACATCAGGTAGAGATAACATTTATTAAAAAGCAATCACTGGTTTGCCTATGCAGACATACTTCTTCTTGACTTAAAACTGGTTACTATACTTTTGAATCCTAATGATGAATAGACAGTATGGGGTGGATTTATAAATGTTTCACCCAGCGCACAGCTGGGCAATTGCCACTGGATGGCACTGAGGAGCATGACAATTTCCTATGTTCTGCAGTGCTGTCTAGGGGTGTTAGTGCCATTTGAACAGCCTCCTCCCAGCTATACGTTGAGCAGAACATTTATAAATTAGCCCCTATGTTTAAGCAATGCAGTGTTTGGTGAGCAATTAACCTTGCTCAGACTTTGACCCCCATTGGCTTCAAATTTTATTAATTCTGTCTGGCTATGCTTGGTATTTAGTAGAGCATGTTACAGAGTTTACAAAAAGGATGGTAAGCTGTCAGCTAAATGATTAATACCTAAAGACTGAATGTCTTTGTTCACTGCTACATAATAGTAGGTTACAGTAGCTAATTTGTTTTATATGCTTTAAGAAGTATTGTGCTTATTAGTCATATAAGTGAGGTGAACTAAACTGACTTAAATACAAAATAAACTTCTTCTTTTTCCTTATGAGCGGATTACCTGCATTACTGTTTTTAATTCTATTTATCTTAAAATATTTTACATTTTGATTATTATTATACAGGAATTATATAGCACCAACAGTTTATGCAGCACTCTACAAAATGGAGGGAGACAATACAATTAAAAATACAATTTCAGTACAAGAGGTAGGAAGGCCCTGCTCATAAGAACTTAGAGTCTAGTAATGGAAGTTACAGACAACAGACAACACCAGACCATTAGTGCAGTTGTATAGAATTGCATCTAAATTAAATAAACTCTTGCTTCCTAGGGGCTGTTAAAACTGAAATATACTATTATTTTTCATGAATATAATAGTTAAAAATAAAATTTAGGCTTAATTTTTTTAAACTATTTACAATGGCTAACACTGACCAATGAGTCACTAAAATAAGTTAAGAATGGAGAGAGTATTTTGGTCATTCTCTTTACTCTTGATTGGCCTTGTAGGGTGTGATATGCTGACCTTGTTCCTCTGTTAGCCTATACTCCATCGCCTTTTCCAGCTCCTTCAGACCTGTCATCTCAAGGATGGATCTTCCACCATGCTACTTCATCACTGGCTTTGTAAACCTATTTTTCTGGTGCAAGTCTCCAGGGGTTTCCCTATGTTACTTTTCAGTTGGTAATGTTCTTTATTTCCTCCATCTGAAGACAGAACAACGGTTGACCCCTTGCACCATCAAGGTTAGGTGCCTACATTGTCTGTGCTTTTCCAATGTCCTCTTGCCAGCCAATATTTCCCTGTGTCATACATTTTTTGAGGGGATTACACCTGTTGCTCCTCCTGTTAAGCCTCCACTCCTAATGTGGATTTAAATCTAGCATTGTTGGTGTTACAAACACCCCTCTTTGTGACATCTCCTTATTGTTAATACCCTGTGAGGTAGCCTTCTGATGGCAATTTCTCATTGGCCAGAAAGGTTCTGAATTATTAGCATTGTCCAGCAAGGAGCACCATTTGACCTTTCATAAAATACGGTTGTTTTGAGAGCAAGGACCATCTTTTTATACACAGTGGTCTGGCACCTTCATGAAAATAACCTGTTATCTCCCTGTGACCGATTCAAGTTCACCCCATGGGGATCTCTATCCAATGTCTGGGTGTGATGAGGGTTGTCAGGGTTTACAACTTGGCCACAGCTTCTCTAGCTAGATGGATTCCCTGTTTATTATTTCAGAACTAAAAGAGGCTCTCTGACTTAAAGACCCTCTATTTCTTTGTGGATTCAATAGGTTGCTATGTAAACCTATGAACTGTGGGATGCAGTGTTTCTTTTTCCTGTTTAAATCCACTCCACTAGGATGGTGAGTGGTTCTTGGGCTTTTTTTCCATCATTAGATCTAGTGTTCAGAGCTGTACAGATGTGGCATGAATGTATGTGTTTTTATATTCTAAGTTTTATAGGTTGATGTGTGTCCCTCAGCAGATGCTAGTTTTGGCCAAAGGATTCTGCCAGCGGCTGTTTATTGATCCTCAGTTCTCCCTTTCGCCTTGAGTTTTTAATTTTGGACTGTTTTATTTTGGTGTACCTACCTACATTCGCTTCCTATGTGCATCAATGTGCCTTGGCTTCCCTTGACCCTTTTGCCGCTTAACCAGTTTTTCTTCCTTGGACCACATTTGGTGGGTCAAGGCCAATGCATACTGGGCACATTACACAAGAGCTGCAGTTTTGGAGTTGCCAGTCATCTTGCAATCACAAGTTGGCCCTTGTCAAAGTTGCTCAAATCCTTATGCTTGCCCATTTTTACTGCTTTCAACACATCAACTTCAGGGACAAAATGTTCACATGGTGTCTAATATATCCAACACACTTCTAGGTGCCAATGAAATTAGAAAATCAATGTTATTCACTTCACCTGTCAGTGGTCATGATGTTAAGGCTGATCGATGTATATCATTCTCTCTCCTGCCTTCATCCTTTTACAGCACTAACCATCTCCTGCTCATCTGAGCCAACATGCTGACATTACCTCCAAAACACTGAGGCATGTGCATTAATATAAAACACACTCCCATCTCATTTCTCTTACCCTCCTGCTTCTCCTGACTTCAACGTATATTTTAGCATATCCTTGCCCTGTGCTGTCTAACATTCACCTCCCACCCCAGCACCCTCCTTCTAATGGCAGCAACTGCAATCCACACATTCTAATTTTTCCTCCTGCTCCCAAGAACCATTTCTCCCTTCTTATTTGCCCTCTGGAATGCCAGCCCTGTCTAACAAGCTCACCTCTGTTCATGATCTTTTTATCCTCATCTTGTTTAACTTACTTGCTGTTACTGAAACCTGTCTTCAGGAATCTTACTCTGTCTCGCCTCCTGTCCTCTCCCATGGCGGCCTCCACTATACTCACTCACCCAGACCTTCACCTCCCTCTCAATCCCTCTACTCTTTTAAAGTTAATTGTATTCATTCTTTTTCTCAACTTCTGTGCCTGGCTATCCTACTTTCCCTCCTCTGAAATATCGACTATCATTCTTAGTTGCTTTTCATATTCTGACATAACACAATGGACAAATACTCCTACACACTCTGATGGCAATACGCTTAACCTCGTATTTGCCTCTGCACTCGTTTCAACCTCTCCAATGCCCCCTCTCTCTGACCACAACCTTGTCAGTTTCGTGCTACCCCCGTCCTCAACCCCCTATCCCCTGCCCTCAAGGAGTTTACAATCTGAGGTACCTTTCTCACTTGCATTCTAGGGCCAATTAACCTACGAACATGTCTTTGGCATGTGGGAGGAACATGGAGCACTCAGAGGAAACCCACAGAAGCACAGGGAGAACATGTTTGAACCTGGAAAATCCCAGTGCTGGAAGGCAGAAGTGCTAACCACTACACCAGCTTCCCACTGTGTATCTCAACAACAAAAATCTCACCCCTGTCCTGCTCTGATCTGGCCACTTCTGTCTCCAATAGCTCACTCTCATCCCCTCTCATCCCCTCTCATAGCTCAAGTGTAATGTATTCACCCAACCAAACAATCTGGACGATTTTCACTATGGCTATGTATCTGTCTGCTAATGATGCCGATCTGCCGCTTAAAGTATTGTGCAGTAAGTGCAATTAACCTGGCAACCTCTTTGACAGATTGCGCACCTCATGTGCATTCTGCCTCTCCAAAGGGGTGGGGGGGGTCATATGAACCAGTTATTTTGATCCAGCAACTCTTGTTCCAACTAGCCTATAGTCTTACTGCCTGGTTACTAGGTTACCTATCACGCTTGGTGGAGTGACAGGGTGACATCAGGCGGGTATGCCCCACCCACTTGAGCCGCCCTTTCGTTCACTCTGGCAGTGAACAGAGTTAATTGGTAGGCAGCTGGATGAATTCCTTTGACAGTGATAGCTACGAACTAGCTCTGAGGAAGGCCTCAGAATTTTCACTCGAGACACAGCAGCGGACAGGCCAGCAGTCTGTATCTCCTCTTTTTGGTATTTTGTTGTGCTCTGTGCCATGAGTCTGAAAGGTGACCTGAAAAGTCTGATGTTATTCTGATTTAAATCTTGATGTGTCCGACATCTGGATTTTATTTGTGAGTATAACCAGTTATTTATGAAGTTTTCACATGTTAAAAATTTTTTATGAGTAAAAAGGTGCTGCCTCTTGTGTTTGCTTTACACGTATTGGTAGATATGCTAGTCTGCAATGGAAAGCAGCATAAAATAATTGATCATGAAGACTCCTTTATATTAGAGATGCACCGATACCATTTTTTCGGCATCAAGTATGAGTACCGATATTTTTTTTTCGGTAAACGCGATTTCGAATACCAATACCGGAAGTCCCAGTAAGGAAGCCGGGTGGCATTTTATGACTCGCTGCATGGCTTCCTGATTAGCCAGGGCTCCTTGCAGTAGCTGCCTAACTGAGTGCACTTGAACAACTGAGCAATGGAAATCAAGGAGGTACTATGGAAGGAGGTAAATCTTCTTAGACAGAAGATGACGCTTACTAAATCTAAGGTGACTGTGCTCCAACACTCCCTATCTCAACATGAGGTATGCATTGTGGCCCTGGAATTATCTTATCTGCAATAGCAAGGGGAGTTTACTGCCCTCCAACCCAGGGTAGAAGTTGGAGAGAATGGCAATCGGCATAATCAAATCTGCCTAAGAGGTATGCCAGAGGCCACTACTGGTCACCATCTATCCAGACCCATCACAGCAATTCTGAATACCATGCTTGGTAAGCCACCACGAGAATCTCTGGAGTTCGACAGGGTGTACCATTTCCTGGGACCAGGAAGGGTGAACATGGACCATCCCAGGGA